ATTGTTAATTTCTTCATTTTTGGGATCACGAAGTGGCACTGCGAAAACCCCCCTTTCACGGTCTGTTCTTTATGTCATGGATTTGCCAAAATCACAAACCCTAGTCAGAGAATCAACAAAACCTTGCTGAAATCAGCAAACTTGACTAGGTTGAATTTGGCAAAACTTGGGCCAAAATCAGCAAACTTGACTTTGCTGAAGTGTCCTAGCCTTCTTGTTGAAATATGAGCTCTGATTCCAAATTGATGTGGGAAAATTGATGGAAATAGTAAAATCAGCTAGAAAACAAGCAAAAGACAAGCATCTACTCAAATAAACCTAAAGGTTCTTCTCAACACTCAGACTAGGATTCAAAAGCCTGGAGCTTTTACGCTTCCTTTTCTTAAAAATTGATCATGTGTATAGCCTGGCCTCCTCATGCCCCACTTTATTATTATTTGTTTATTGTTCAAAGGACATTATTTGTCCTTACAAATAGGAAATTGACCCCTATGTCTTAACTTAAGCACAAAAGTCGACAATGCCCATTATCTAACTTGAAATGACCAAAATAGTTCCAACTTAAATGTAACTTAAAACTAAACATCATAACTTTAAAAGTACCTAAAAAATCCCTAACTGGTCCATCAAATAACAGTAATAAATAAATCTGAAAATAACCCTAAAATGGCTAAAAACTTATCCCAAGCAGGGCTTATTCTTCTTGGTAGCCCTCCTATGTTTTTACATCCTCCGGGTATGCACGAGAATTAGGAGGAATCTGCTGCTACCAAAGAAGGTACTCATCGCTACTTGAGGCACTTTGTGCATCATCACTATGACTATCAATCCATACTTTTGGCACAAAATTGTCTACTATGTGACATAACTAGTTGTAGATCCTGTAAGTGCAGCCCTCGCCAACTCTCTTCTGTTCGTATACTTCCTCATTAGATTGAGGACAAAATAATGGTTCTAGTTAAGTTTTCTATTGTTTTTGCCTTCTGCCGTATCCTCCATCTTCCCAATGCCATCAAGCATTAGAACTATATGAAATGAGAAATACGTAATGTCCAAAATATGGTGGGGTAGCGATCATGTAGCAGCTGCCCCCAAGGAAGTAGTTGGTTGCATTATCTGTTATGAATTGGACTGTATATTGCGTCTCCACATGATCAACACCTCAAAAAAGTGAAACAATGCCTCACCCATCATCAGAATATCTAAGGCATCAAATGACTTCAAGAGTACGGTACTGTTATGACAAGACACCAAAAGTTGATCAATTGTCGTTATCTTATCAGTCCACCCCTCAATCGTGGTTGAGCTTCGATGTTTGGCACATATCTCTCTATATGTCTAAATGAGCTTGGCCTTTCATATTTTTCTTCATAATTCAACTTCTAGTGTTATGGAAGCTAGAGCATCCCCTATGGCCATGGATTTCACTGCATCTAACATAGGTTGGAAGTACGAGGAATTGAGTGCATTAAAAGGTATGGAGCATTATACATCCACCGGGCCACACATATGTGCCCTTTCTACTGCATACTCCCAACCCCAAACACTTTTGATGTTGGCTCATCACCCCGTGTTGTTGATGATGGGAAATAGTCTCCTAGCAGACACTGCTCGGGGTGCTAATTGCACTCAATTGGCGGTTCCTTCCTCTCCTCATAGATTTGTGTACATCAATGTAGATTGGGGCTCCTCTTCTTCATCAAAATTAAATGTCTTTGTGGGGTTGGGTATGGATTCCCAATGTTATCGACGATTATTTGACTTCTTTGCTTCTGATTTTTATGATTCTCAACAACTTCTTACATTTTGTACGTGACATGGGTGGGCACTCTTGGGGATTTTGTTTTTGGGTGAGTGGCACTCTTGGGGATTTGCTGCCATTTCTAGACTTGTGAGCCAAATTCTCCTTGACTTAGCATTGGCCCCCTCTCATTATTGTTTACTTGCAATAAATGAAGGCATTCTATTCTCATAGTTTTTCACGCGAGAATCCTACCTACATCTCCTCGGTCTGATTTCACTTTATTAGACACAGATAAAGACAATTTTTAATCACCTAATTCGCTATCCAAACTCCACCAAAACCATCACCAATATTGTACCCCATCCAGACCACCAAACACCAAATTCTCAAACTTCCACTACTGTCGATTAACAATTCTCCAACGAAAAAATTACAACCATATGCAAGGGCAACAATGAAAAAACGCAAACCCATCGCAAACATTTAAATTGTAATAGATAAATAAAATTCAAAATATAAATTATAGAATGAGGATAAATGGACAATAAAAGTATCATTTTTTTATGAAATTAACAATTATATTGAATGTAAAAACGTACAAAAATGAACCTCCGTAGAGATGGAGACGATATATAGACGCAAATGGCAACTCACTTAGTGGGAGCTCTATACAAAACACCAATGGTATAAAGAAACTGTAAACAGAGGACAAGGTGCCTAAAGCCTTATATTTTTCTGAACCCACACAAAAATCCTTATTTTTCCTTCCCAAAAAGCCTAAATCCACCCCAAAACCTCAAATCTTCAGCCAAAACTCCCAAATAAGCACCAAAATAAACCCATTGTAACATCATAGCTTATCCAAAAATTTTTAAAACGATGAAGACAAAAAGGATAAACTATTCATATCACAGGAAGCACAAAATGTTGAAGTCCACCAAAAACATCCAATATTCAACTTGTAAAACTAAAACAATTACTAAAATAACCCGCTATAATTTCCATAGTTCTAAAAAGGTAAAAAAAAAAAAAACTGAAGGCACACAAAAAATCCCAAAATAAACAAAATTCGCCCATAACTTATGATATTCAAACTAAAAAATCAAAGTAATCCATATGATAGACCAAATATCACATCCCCAAAATAGCCATCCCAATATATTGAAATTTTACTTCACAAAAACCACTTAAAAATCCTATTTGTTTTCTAACTTTCTAAAAACTTAAATGAAGAAAAAAGTAAATATATATCGTTGGGAGACTGGTAGAATTCGTAACATGTGCTGGAAATGTTCCTAAGGTCTCAGGAATATGGCCTAAAGATTGAAGGGTTCAGGTAAGGAGAGAGAGTGCGGCAAGCGAAATCACCAAACCAGTGTCATCAAGATCGAACTAGCCATGGAATCAATTAGGAGTTTGGTTTAGTCAAAACCAATCAAATCACTAGTTGAACTAGTTAGACTGAATTTAAAAATAAATAAAACATGAGAATGTTTGCTGAAATATATTACTAAGAAAGTCATCCAACCTTGATTATTCGGTCCAACATGCCAAATATGGACAGTCGGACCTGCCATGACATGTCCAACAATGGTTTTGATTGGTTTCATCCAGACCTTGTTCTTATTGTGGACCAGACCATTCAAGGCATTGATGAATGGTCCAACCAGTTGGACTAGCTAGTTTGGTCGAGTCTTGATAACATTGTGCCAATTTACTCTATGTCTCGCTATATATTGGGTTTTTATGGCCCAAAAACAACCGAATTTTAGGTTGGACCAAAACATCCCCATGAATGGGCAAATATGACCCAAAAAACGAAATTGCCTAAAATAGTTAAGTATTGACCAAAAAATAATAAACAAACTTGCCATCTGTAAATATTGTAGATGTCAGGTTGTGTTTGGACTAGTTGGACATGCCAGTCAAGATATTCTATTGGATATAAACTGGTTTGACATCCCCACCCTTTCGAGACCCCCAGGTCCGACCTGTGAGTAGGATTGGCAACAGGCTAGGCATGGGCCAACGGGGCAGCCCTGGCCAGAGCTTGGCCTAGGCCTCGATAGATTGAGCCGTATGGGCCCTGGCATAGGTCTAGTCCATGCCTTGGCCTTATTCGAGCTTGGCCAGTCTGGGCTGGGGTAGTAGCTTCATAGGTAAAAAGAAAAATAAGGGAAAACATGAATCCTGTTATGCCATTTCACTCTATCAAGGGCTATACCCTCAGTCAGAACATAAGTCACCATAACTTTTCTCACTACTTCCCTGTATCCTTCTGAGGTCCCCTTGCCCTAGTAGAGCCTTCCATTTGAACCAAATCGCCCATACGAAGCAGTTCAGTTCTAGGTCAACATTGCACATGGCGAGACCGCCTAAGTCTACTTTCCGTCATCTTATCAACTATTGGAGTTATCCCAAGTCCCTTTGGATTTGTCCATTTCAAATTCGATCATTTCTTGTCTTGCCACTCATCCATGTCGACATCCTCATCTCAACTACACTCATTTTATGAATATGGTGTTTGTTGACTGCCCAACAATCCGTCCCGTAAAGCATGGCTGATCTTATTTCAATCCTATATAACTTCTTCTCAGTTTCATTTGTATGTGATGATTACATAAGACTCCAGAAATACGTCTCCACTTGATTTACTCAGCTCTAATTCTATGCCCGACATCTTTATTAATTTGTCTATTCTTATGGATTATTGACTCAAGATATATATATATATATATATATAGGAAAATACTGAGATTAGCCCACTAGCTCATATGAACATATGTGTTCATATGAGCCCAACGGCCTAGATTGAATCTGGGCCGATCTGACTGTCATGATCTAATTTCATATTTGAATTTTAATTTTTTTTCTACTAATCCAAATCACTTGAAATTTTAGGAGTGTGTTCATAAAAAATAGTTGAATCTTCGAAAAATATCAAAAAAAT